AAAAAAAAAAAAAAAAAAAAAAAACAAAGAAAGAAAAAACCATAAAAAGGAGAAACAATTTTCCATGCAGCTCCGACGAATGTGATAAATAAAATTCTGAATTTGGCTTTGCAAAATAAATAAACGCTATCGATGAAATCAACCCATTACAACACGTATAGCACAAAAACGACAAAAACTGCAATATAATCGAAAACGGCTTATATTATTCAAAACAATCCGTCAAAGATACCCGCGAATAAACAAGGCTTCAAAAGTGTAAGTAGCAATTTGCCGGCAAGACTGTCACTTCTAAAAAAAGTATTGAAAGCAATGAATACAACTGTAACTCATATAAAAAAAGAAAAAAAAAAAAGACGAAAAAGTTGAAACAAAGAGATTAACCACGTTTGTACGATTTCTGACATAAACAGAGAGCTGCTTCAATATAACCGGCTCAGCACTGCAGAACTTTTTAAACCTTGATAACCAAATACACCGATTGTAACAAGTATTAACAGCAAATATATAAAGCGAATTACCAAAGTATGTGTTAACAAATCAAATTTTCCTTATATTTCAACGGCACTTTCCAAATAGGAAAATAAGAAAAGAATATTATACATATATACTAGCAAACATCAAGTGATAGCAAGACTCCAGGCCTTGGTGCATACATCGATAAGATTCTACGGTCTCAAGCGTAAAAATATATACCAAAAAAAAGAAGTTACCCCCAAGTTTGACTTCAAAAATCTTTGTACAACAGGAAGAGTTTTATGCGTTTGGCGCAGCAGCAGGAGCTGGACTATTACACGCAGAGGCAGAAGCACTATGTGCTGCATGAGGAGCTGAAATACTTGACGGCCTCGCCGCACTAGAACCCATACACGAACTCGCTACACTTTGTAAAAGTCTGAAAACATAGGTGTCATTTAATTCAACGATACTGATGAAAATCAAATTTGGGCAAGACTTAAAAAAGAAGGACAGGAATGCAACAGAAGCTATGAATAAGTGCAAACCTTTCAATTTCAGGAGCGCATCGTACGAAGTCGTGCTTCCAAAACCCATATAAAGGGTTTTTTATGAGTTCAATAAAGGTAATTAATAGCCCCCAAGGATGTGGCCGTAAAGCCACCAAGCGTTCAAAGAGTATCCTAAAAAGCTTTTGTCTAAGCAAACATTTCGCCACAGGTCTTTCAGTATACAGATATATTTACGAACAAAATAAAGAATTTCCAAGCGATATATACCTTGTTATCTGTTCCTGGATAACCGGAGAATTAGCTTCTAGAAAGAGATATAGAAGGGTACAACTGAAGTAATGCGTGTGGCTGTTTGGATAGCGTAGCTGATTCGCTATTGCATTAAATAGTAAGTACCGCCCTGAAAATACAGATGAGATCAAATTTCTAAAAGCATTTACGCAAGATATAACTCGGAATGTCGTTGGCATTAAAACAATAAATGGGGAGAAGCTGAGGGATGTAATTCATTGCACTTAATGCGCTCGTTTCGTCTACTTCTGTTGCAAACAAACTTTACCCTAGCCTCTTTAATACACACTGAAAAAATGATACTAACGATACCCTGTGCCACGTCTCATAAAGCACTAACTTTTTAAAAAAACTTAGAATGATTAGAACTTGCAAAGAAGCTAGACCGATTTTTACCGCTAAGGGTACTGATAAGATCCAAAGCAAACGAGGTATTACAGACTGTGGTAATAAAAGTTTTTTCCTCTATGTTACGGATATCTAATTAACAAAGCTTTACCTTCAGTGCACAGGCTGACTGCTAAATTCTGAAAGATATCCATATAAGCAGTATGAGCAATGGTCGTCATTGTTATACATTGTTGTTTTTCACGTATAGCCTCAATGGCACGCATACCCACATAGAGAACAACAGCATGCATTAAAGTTGTGTTGTACTTTAAGCCAGGGATGCTGCTGTTCTGAAAAAACCACATAGAGAAAAAATCAGAACTTTTTCTATTACAAGTAAAATCTCTAACAGTTCCACTCGTCGAAATAATCAAAATATTTCAAGGAGTCATATTGCAAATTGATACGCCATACTGGAGATCGCATTTGTAGGAGGCTGGGCAAATTAGCATGAAAATCAACTGATGAACGAGTCGCCAAGTAGTCATCTAGTTGCGTACGAAGTTCTATCGGTATTATTGTAGCCATATTCAAATGCATTTTTGGCTCTTGAGTCATTTCAACAAGGCTGTCAACCTAAAACCGTGTGTTAAGACAGGAACCAAATAAAAATCCAGTAAAGAGAATCAATTAAAGCACCTTTAAATTAGTGCCGAATGGATCTGGCAATCGCATATTTTTTGGATATGCACTGAGCACTAAATTTCTTAACTGGATGCAATTTGGTGGAATGATATCGCAGATTACGTAGTGATACTCACAAAGGAGTTCCGGGAAATCATGCAGTATAACCAATAAAACACGTAATGTTCCCTACAACAGCCCCTATTAGATTTTCTATTAGGCCAGCAACAGCTGTAAAACCGAGGGCTTAAACCCATACTTTGTACATCATTGCGATCGATTTCGGCATTTGTATGCTGCGGAGATAAGGCGATAGAAATTTTAAGTGACAAATAATTAACTGGGTGTACATTGGGGCTGTTTTTTGCGGTTCCACACTTTCTTTCAATAACCTTGTAATAAAATTACGATGCCCAATAATGTCAAGCCATGCATAAGCAAAACCAGGTTCTCGTCGTGGCTGCAGGATAAAAAGCGCTTGCCTAAAAAACTGCCAACTAATAAGAGCATACATTGGGAAAATCAAGAAAAGTATAGTTAAAAACTGAACTGACCCGAATGCTTCCAAAATATTCCACGCAATAGGATCCAGAATAGGATCTGGAGCAGTAAGCTCATTAAACATAATGATTAGTATTCGGTGATAAGGCATTGCATGGAAATCTGGACCTTTAATCTAAAAATAAAAGAACGTTGCTTAACCCAAATTTACTAACGGCAACTACAGAAACATTGAATCCATATTTGGGGACTAAAACTTTTTTGTACCTCATGGTCCTGATGCAAGACGTAAGTGACAATGTTGAGTATTTTCTTTAACAGATTAATTTTAGTTTGGTACTGACCACCATCGCTGTGCTTAATCATCAAACTGAAACTTATATTAAAGAATAAGTCAAGAGCTAAAATAACATACCGTTAACATCCCAAATCAAAAAGCAATTACCAAGTTAATTTGACGAAAGCATCTAGTGTGTAATAACATCTTTGGCGAACAACTGTAGGAGAATGATGAATGTTAGCAGCTTCATTTTTCAAAAGGCGATAGGAAACATCAACGCACATTTCTGTGCATAACCGGAAGAAACGCGTAATCATTTCGTCAGTGGACAATACGCCTTGTTCATGCATCTAAAATTTAAATCAGTAAGATCTTAATCTAAGGTTTCAAATTCTTTCGCAAAACGTTGCCACTGCTCTTTTCCCATGCGCTTTGAAGAGAAAGAATCACTCAACACAAAATCATACTGCTAGTTCCATCATTAATTTTTGTTCAAATATTACATTTCCCTCACTAGTAACTATCTTAAATTATAATTCTATGTAATATAAGAGCTTCTGCTTCCAAATGTTTATGTTCAAGAATAAATAAATGACGAGAAAAATGTCAGAACGAAATAAGAAAACAAAATCAGCTAGCTGCTAAGAGTCATTATTTTCATTTGAGACATAATCGGAAAGAATCAAGCAGCAAAGCAGGAATACAAAATTTTTAAAACTATTTTTCAAACGACTTACACTATGAATTATGGTCGCCAATGCCTGTTGCGGTTCTTTTTGAGCCACAGGTTTATAACAAAGCTGAATCCACTCTCGCAGTATTGTTTCAACTTTACTTTGCAACTCTGGGGCATTAGCCTCAGTGTTTTCATTTGCTGTCCCCACCCTTGAAAGAATTCCTGCTCCTGGCCCAGCAGCATGCAGGGCACCGCTAGATGGAACGCTTCCAGACCGCATACGTTCATTCATTGCAATTAAAGGCGGTTGTGCAGCACTTCCAGCCCGAGGCACCACTCCAATGTTGGGACTTTCTCGACCTATGCCATGCAGCATTGCTGGGAAACTAAAATCAGTGACAGCATAATGAAAGCAGAAAATTGAGTCCACAAAAAAGACGCGTTCAAACAGATTATAAGAAATGAACTAAACGCAAAAGATATACTGTCTATCACCTTTCCGATGTTGGAGTAGGCCTATTTTGACCAAACTGCTGTATCTTCGACAGTTGTTCGAGAGTTTGCGGGAAATGATCTAAAATTTGCTGTCGAATACCTCCAGGACTGATATTCATCTTCAAAAACCTCTGCGCAAACAGAGTAGCCTGCAAAACAGCAAATTAAAATCTTTCCCAAATTGAAATTTATGAAAGCAACTCTTGGTTTTGAGTAACAAAAAAAAAACAATGTAGAGCAATTTCCTCTTCTCTTATTTTGCAACTGCAAGTAAGAATAATAAAGTATGTCTGTGAAAAGAAAAAACCTCGAGACTTGCACTTGATTCTATAAGCAGCGCCAAATGGTGATCGAAAACATTATACTGTAAAAGACTATTTTTTGCTAATAAGTCCACAGCGTCGGCATTGAACTTATACTCTAGTCGGCAGTCACAAATAACCCGAGTAATACGTTGTGCCAAGTTTTGCAGAGTTAACTGAGAAGCCAAAATTTTACAGACACTGATGAAAACCTCCTTTAGTCTTGCAGACCACTCAATCTCCATCGGAAACACTAAAATTTCTTAGAGTTACCATACCAAAAAACTTCTCAGTCCACCAATAGATATATTGTGTATGAAGTTTCAGATATTAACTCGTTTGCTGTTGAGTTCATTCCTCTATATCAGTCAACATAAACACTAGCTAATAAAATGAAAAATCAAAAATTCAATTGCTAAGAAAGTAAAATAATTTGTAAAAAAATACGAGGGGTACTTACCTTGACCAGGGTGATGTTGTTGTGGAAGAAGAGTATCACCATTACGGTAAGCATACAGTAACTGTTCAACAATTTTGGTAATAAGATTATGAAGCTGAATCGGTTCACGTGGTGACGCAGCAAGTTGTGAAACGGCATCGCGAATTACAGCTATTGCAGCAGCTGCTTTGGACTGTGCTGGTATCTGAGGATGAGCGATATTTGAAGAACTAAAGAGCAAGTCTGCATCACGTGTGATCTTCTGGAGAGCGTTCGTAAACTGCTCGATTTCCTTCTCCATGGTGCCAGGCTAAGAAATTTAGTGAATTAAAAGATATGAATTTTATATTTGAAGAAACGATTTCCTTAATTTTTGGAAAAATTTGTAGGAAAGGCCTTTTACCTGGTGAATAACCGGTTGTAATGAAGTAGGAGTAGACGATTTCAAAATGCTGTAATCTGCGATCATGTCCTCCGCGGTCGTCGGTTTGAAGCCGCACAACTTACTGTAATGAAAATAAAATTTTTAAAATTCAAACTAATTAAACAAAATCTTTCAGTATAGATACCTCAGTAAATTTACAATCATTACTAAAATAGCAGAAAGCAACCTTGAGAATCCGTCGTAAACCGCCATTTGTTGAGCAGTGATTACGCCAACTTGAGTTCTGATTTTTTCCGGTAGCAACTGCACTTTTGCTAAAGCGACTGGGTCAACATAACGCTGCTTAGGATCCGCAGTCCGCGCTTGTTTGCGCATAGCATATTCAGCTTCTAATCGCTTATCCATTTCTGGAGTGGCTTTTTCACATGCAGACTTGACAATAAAATTTGTAGCTAGTTCAATGTTGTCATCAGTGATGGTCAAAGCTGCCTCGTCAATCATTTGCATCTACAAGATGTTAATGGTAAACTCTGCGTAAAATAACCTTTTGTGAAGCGTAGACAAGTTGTCAAACCTGTTCCGGATTAGGCTGCTGAACACCAAGCACATTACTGGCTGAACGTAACTGGTTGGAGAAAGCCTGCTTCAAATATGACTGCAAAGTTGTTGCGAGAGGGTCGTGACAGGTGAGCGATGCCATTCCAGCAGTCATTGCACGAATCATGTGATGGGAAGCCCGCCTTAAGCGTTGCTCATCGCCATCCAGAGCAAAATCCTAAATGTTGAATAAAAACATTAATTTGTCAAGTCGCCGCAAAATCAATCAGACAAAAGAGAAAATACACGATCTTAAAACAACCTTCTTGCAAATATGTTCTGTTACATGCATAGCTATCCTAATAGCCCGCTCGGTGACTGGTTCGATAAGTTCCTTTATTGCATGACAGATTGCTGGCCGAATAACGTGTTTTAATTGAGGATTCATCTAAAATTGAAATCTAATATTGTTAAAAAATTTCATAAAAAGTACTAGAAACGACCCTTTTCAATCTAAACTACTGAAAGAATTTACTTGAAAGAGTGGTAAAGATGGCGACATTTTTATATGCGGTGTAAGACCGTCAAATGACACAACGTTGATGTCATGGTAGTGGAAATGTGCCGGTGGTTGCTGAATCGCGATATTAGCTAAAAACGACGACAACAATAAGTTTTTCCTTAGAAAACTTTTATAAAAAAGCACAAACAAACCAGTCTGAATAGCCGCAGCCTGCGCGACGTTTGTAATAGTTTCAACTTCACCAGTTGAACTAGAAGTATGTTGCTGAGGCTGACCTTGTACAACGGCGGACACTGTTGCTTCCGCAGTACTGTCTGCTCCAACGCGCACGTGAGGCACAGGAGACGATCCAACCTAGGTATAAAATCACTCGAAAGTCGTTTTATTTAAAAAATTGATTAAAGACCGAAGAGCTTGTTTAAAACTAGTAGTTTTAAAAGTGAACGATGCAAGAAAGCATTAAGCTACAAAGCAAAGTTTACCTCTGGCTGCTTCAACATTTTCAGCTCACCAAGCTGTTGAGGCACTCTAGCGAGTCGATCCTCCACGTTTTTCAAAACCCCTTCACCATTTAAACTGTGCAAGTCTACGTGAAGCTCCTTACAAAGCACCTCAATTTCAAACTTCAAATTTAATTTCAAATCGTATTCATTGTGAAGTTCCGCTAACACTTTCAAAATGGCACGAATCCAAGCACAGTTTGCACCAAAAACCTTAAAATAGTTCTCTTTACTCAATAAAATAATTAATAAAGGTCAAGAAACACAAATTTTTCTTTGACGACGTATAAAATAAAATTTACACTGCTCCGACTACAAGCTGCTACAATTTTTGCAATGAATGGAACAACGAATAACAGTTCCTGCTGCCCTTTATAATAAGCTTCAAGCAGCAACGACTTCATATCCAAATCCTGAATTACAACATAATTATCCTCGACACTCTTTGACTCGAGTACAAAAACACGGAAAACTAGGCCTTCGATCTGTTGTTAAATGGGAAGACAATTCCACTCACTGATGTAACAATAGGACGATCTCTTGCAATTGTTATAGTGCCAAGCCATAAGCCCAAGTTTTTTAATAATTGCCGATCTCCAAAATTAGATGCAGCTTGCCGTTTGTCACTTCGCAAAAGGATCTGAAGTCTCACAAGAACAAAACTTAATTCGACAAGAGCTAAAAATTTCAGGTGAGTAATAAAAAGAATGTAGCGAATTCTCGGTCGGCAATATACTACTTCATAGAACACTGTCTTGGCTACAACGCACTCAATTTTGCGGCACTTTTAAAGCTCACCCAAAACCATGTGAGTCTCTGGTGTGCCGCATTTCCAAATAAAACACGTAGGAATAATTAATAGCCTACTTTGATATTTCGGAAGGTCTCCTGCTTTACGTACTTTTCTAAGTTACTGTCAGCAATAGCTATCAGAAAATTATTGTAGAGCGGTTGAAAATTTTGCTCTATACTAACGCGTTTCATCACCAAATATTGGGCCAACCAGTGCACAAAATCATCTCCGTATTCAGAAATCATTTCTTTCATTTCTTCAGTCTATAAATAAATGATAGCAATGACCAATTACAAAGCAGGAAGAAAGCACTAATAACAAAGTAACTGTCTTAGCGTTAGTACCTTCTTTGGTAAATTGCTTTGGCTTAAATTATTAAAGAGGAATGCGACTTTTTCGACTATCGCGTCAGCAGGTTGTTTAAGCCTAGAACCATCGCGTTCAGTAGCGTTGACTAGAGTGTCAACGCTTGTAACTGAAAGAACTGAAGTCCCCTGAAATTGGGTTTTAAGATTGGAAATGTGCAATAAAATTTTTAAAAGCAACAAGCGAAACTTCTTCAAAACTGACAGGTAAGAATATTTTGAACTAGCGATTTCTGAATATCTATGATAACATAACTATTTAAAAGATAACTCTACAGCAATCCAGCTCACTACGTCATAAAAAAATTACAAAAATAAATATCACGAAACACTTTTCAAGATGAATGTAGAAACATATGCCACAAATCTATTTCTTTGAATGATCGTTATTCAATATAACGCGGTTGGTTCAAATCAAGGCAAATTATGAACAATTCATTTCAATTAGCTTACAGTACGAGAAGGCATTTTTGACACCGCCTCAGCAGCTGTGGAGCTTGCCCGCTGTTGCTGTTGCTGCTGCCAATTAGGTGTGTCGCCTCTAGTGTGCCCCAAAGGAAGCTGACCTTGAATGCCCATTTTCACATACTCCTTAAACATTTCAGGGTAACAAAAAGCATAAAGTTTTATTCAACCAAAATGCCAGAAAAAAAGATATCACAGTAAATAGCGATGAAAACACACCTTCAAAACCTGTGGAAACCTGTTAAAGCTTTCTTGGCTAGCAATCATAACGCAAACTTTTGGATAAGCACAGAGCTTTGTTCTGCAAGCATTCAAAGAAACTATGCCAAAAGTCCACAACATAGAACCAGGTTCAGCTTGCAAAGATTCTATAACCTTGCGAACGGCAGTAGCAAAATGAAGATTTCTAAAAAAAATAGACGTTCGGTTGCGCGAGAACTGTAACCGCTATATTACTTCCGATGCACTAATAAGGACGAACTAACTGACGTTATGATCCCTTCTCGTATTATCCCGCCGTAAACTTCTGCAGTTGTTCGTAATTCCCTTTCCGGGTATTCGTGAAAGAACCGATATTCTTCGAAAAGATTTTTAACAACACAAGCTAGAACGTCCTAAAATAAATGCTAACAAGTTCTGTGCCAATTTTTTTCAAGTTTTACGGAGTGCATATGAACTAATAATCTTCAAACCACGGTAGACAACGCCACTGTTTTGACTCATCATGCTCAGTTAACAAAGAAATTTTACGTATATATAAAAGCACAGTTTTGAACATATCTGCTCTCAACTCCTTTTCATAAGAATAACTTATTCAATCCACCAGTTCTGTTCGAGTTTGGCTCCAAGTGAAAAAAAAAAGTTATTTCTGTCTAACATCGTTCTGTATCTTGAAAACAAACACAAAGCAAAACAACTAATTCGAAATTTTTTTAGTATTTCCAAAACAAGCCGGCTTGAATAAAAAACTTCAAAAAGCATTTAAAATGAAAAGTAGACTTCATTTCCAGATTTGCACGGAGAAGTAGTAAACTTTCACCCTACCGTGATAAGAGAGCGGAAAACTTCATAAAATGAGAAGTAGAATACTAGTGAGCAGTGGATGAAGAAAGAAGAACAAAAACGGGAAACTGAGCTGTTTCTGGAATTCTACGTATGAAAATGAAAAAAACCAAAGCATCGACAAGTTTTGATAAACATTCAAAACAAAATCCATTCCCGAACTCTTGAACACTTACTCTGTCTTTCTGATGGGGAGAATTCTTGAACGCTTTTAGACAGTTAACGAATTCATTTACCGGCATTTGACTATTTTGAGAATAAATCTAAACAATGCTAATTAAGCTCAAAAATAGATGCAAAAAATTCAAAATTGAAAAAATAAGCTAAAGACAATGGCACTACATTACCTGCTGGAAGTACATGTTAGCCTCGTTTTGAATTTCTTCACTAAATTGAACACTTGTAAGGTCCTCGCTCATACTAACACTCTGACGAGCAGCAGTAGCAACTGCAGCTCCACTTGGTTGAACAGCATTCCCAGAATTAGTATATCCAGCAGTACCTCCAATAATAGAACCTGCAAAAAACTGGATTCAAAGATCTAACTTAGTAGTTAAAAAAAACCATTCTTGTTTTTCAGTTTTCCACTATGCAAGTTGAACCTGTAGCACCCGGAGCACCAGGAGGAAGATGGGCACGAAAGTCTATGCCGCTATTAGCCGTAGATGAACCTGGGCCTGAGCGTAGAGCACCAGTTCCTAAAACTGGTAGTAACCTGTTCAACCTTAGAACATTTGCAAATTCCTTACCATATTTGGAGCTGGTTCTCAGAAAAGCAAAGAAAATCCCAAGCCATAAGTAATGTTTAAACTGAATGCATATAAAATACGTACCAGGAAGACCAGATGGCATGTTCCAAACAGTAGTATTGGATATAGGTCCAACTCTAGCCTGAGGAACAGCCCCACTACTATTCGCTAGAAAACCCGTCCGCATCATCTGGGCTGAAGGAGACATTGAAAGAGAATTTCCCCCGCCAAAATTCGGTTGTAAAATATTACCAGAATTTGTAGCCTGAAAAATATTTCTTTTAAAGTCAGAAGCATAATTAAATTCAGTTAGCCGATTCCAGAAATGTAAACAGAAAATTGACAATATAACCCACTTTTAATAAATCTGCTTGTTGACCGAAGGAGGCAGGACCTCCAGCAGATCCAAACAATTGCATCGATCCTGGCAAACCTCCCGCTTGCTGTTGCTGTTGACGATTTTGCAACTGCTGTGCCGTAGCTAAATATCATAATAAGGAACCTCTTGGCGTACAATAAATAAATGTTTAAAATTTCAAATTGATGGGCCAAGAATGGAGAGGAGGGAAGAGGAGAGAGAGAAAGAAGGAAATATTACTTCGCATGAAATAAAAAAATTAGAATTAACCAACCAATAGCCTGCTCACGACTTGTTTGTCCAAAACTAGATCCTGCTGATGCGTAAGGAAATCCTGAAAAGGTCCCAGCACCAGACTGAGCCTGTCCTGGACCGCCGGGAACACCCCCTCCACCGCCAAAAACAGTTGACTGTGCACCTGTCGGTAATGGTAATGGTGCTCGCTGAGTGACGTTCAAAGCGCCTAGACGCGCATCACCAGTTTTCGTCTATAAATAACAATTACAATATGCAGAATAGATCAGATAGTCAGATTACCAACAAGAAAAAAAATGCGTAAGGAAGATCTCTAGTTACCTCTGGCTTACACAAAGACGCTCAGGTAAACCTTTCCATTCCTCTTATTTTCAAAGTAAAATGATAAAAGGGAAAAATTAAATTAAAATGCACGCTCTGATAAAAAAAATTTAATGAAAACCTAGAAACAATTAAATTTCAATAACAGCGCTTTAACTTCAATTTTAATATAGCATCTGCGATGAAATGAGAAGTTAAACACCACAAACTGAAGACATACGAGCAACGCGCTGGCGCGCTGCCAACTTCAACAAACTAGGCAAAAAAACCTAACGTGAAGTACCCGGCGTGTGAATTATTCGTGCGTGTATTCCCTATTGCACCATGCATAAACCTCCCCAGTTAAACTGCTTTTTTCACTACAAAATAATTTGACATAAAAGGTAAATGAAAATTCACTTAGAGCTTAGTAAGAGCATATTTAACTTTACGACCTTTATAACTTATAAAAAGACCATTTTCCCGCCCGAATCAGCTGTGTACGAAGTGTGATTGAAAATGATGACAGTTCTTCGATGACTCCGTAAAAAAACTTTGGAAAACAACAGTTTGAATTAAATTTGAATAGATTAACGTAATTTAGTGATCTTCAGCTACCCCTCACCTGTAACTGTCGAATCTGTTGGAAAAGCTGGTGAAGTTCCGCAACTGCAAAACTCGTTGCTGCGTTTGGCTTACTGAGACAGTTAAGCAAAATAGAAAGTGTTTCCTGTGGTAATATTAGTGATGGTTGTGGTGGAGCAAGTCTTCGACGTATAAATGTTATAAGTTGTGAGGTAAAAGTGTCCTAAAAATGTTGAACAATTTTAAGAAATTCTAGTACATTACAGATCTAACAGAATAAAAAACTTGCAAAGGAAATGTCCACTGTTAGTAAAAACTGTTCTCCGTCTGTTCCACAAATTGCCAAAAATCGTTGTTTTGCAGATAAAATGAACGTTTTCTTTCAAGAATTACTGTAGTTATAGGGCAGAAAAGGACTGTACTTTGAAACAAAAAAATAACTAAGTTTTATTATTCGATAGAATAAATCTAAAATTAACTTGAAAGGCAGAAGTAAAAAAAGTAAAAATTACCCCATGCTCACTGATTTTATCTTCAATCCACTTATCCAACTTGAGGAAATCTCTTCTTGAAGCCAAGCACGCAAGGTCAATAGTAAACGGAAACTGATGCATGTTAAAAAGTTCCCCCAGGCCCTAAAATATCAGATAAAATATCACTTTTTTTTGAAATTTTTCTAGTCCCCCTAGCGTTGTCCATTAAGCAAATATAGAATACAAAAAAAATGTGAAGAAAAAAGTCACAGTTGTAACACTGAAACGTTGAAGACCTTTCCAGATACGCAAGAATTTAATTTTTCGTATATAAAGATCACCCTTAAACCTAGAATGTTATGAAAAATGCCTATACTCGTTCTCCTTTTTGCACTGTTCACAAAAACTACTTTCTATAATTGCTTTTTAACTCCAAATTTCACAAGTACTTCGAATCCCACGTTTAATCATCAACGTACAAATATTACGCACTCCTCATTCATACAAACTTGTATTCCTTACATTTGGCTTCAACTCATGTGCCAGTTCCAGTAGCCGAGTAAGTTTCGCTTGATCATCCTGATTCTTCATGTAATAATTCGCCATGCAATTCAATATAACAGATCTAATTATCATCGGCGGTTTGTTTAACTCTTCACAGTTCCACGCAGCGTTTAGAACAGCAACGGCATTCGGGTGGCTCGTAAATAACCATGGAATTAATACAGAAAAAACGTGGATTCGAAGATGACTGACAGGAGGCTGAAGTGTCAACAGCACGAAATAAACTACATAAAGTTAAATATAGAACTTAAGAAAAGAAGGAAAACAAATGCTGTGAGGAACGAACCGGAACTTGTGTTAAGCCAAGTAACACTACGTCAACACAAGCGCAAGCTTTATCAAATAACCTTAGAACGTTTGTCGTCAATTTCCTATTTTCACCTAGGTGAAGTAAGATATCGAGTAAATCTAATGACCGCCTAAAAAAAGAAATAAAAGCCACAGTCAATCTTTCCGTTCCAATATTTGACAGAAGAACAATAACTAAATTCATGATGCAAATTAACCAATTCAACAGCTCTTTGCTAGTCTCCTCAGGTTGAACTTTTAGAACAGACAAATTCACGGTCTTGCAAGGATAATCGATAAAAGAAAAAACATCTGGGTTTTGCACTATCTGTTCTATCCATGAATACTGAAAAGTCATTCTTTCAACTCTTTCAATGAAAATTTTATATGCAA